CCCGGCCAGGGAGGTGACCCACATGGTGCAGCGGACCTCTCCTGTCTCACCTGCTGCTCAGCAGTGTATTTCAGTCAATCCACCTGTTCTGTTCCCCACTCTGTCTCTGGTGAATCCTCTCACCGCCCCCTACCCCCATAACTCTGGCCTGTACCCAGTTCTTGTATGCATACATAAATGAATCTTTTTTAAAAGTATTAAAAAAAAAAGATGTCATATTGCTCATCTAATATCCAGTATGGAGTGTGGGTTCTGCAAAGGCCTAAGGGAAGATATTACTATAGATTAGGAGATGATGAGCAACACAGGAATTTACTGTACAAGTGAGAAATGCTGAGGACTTGAGCAGTATGGGTACATATTGGGGCACAGATTCCAGAGCTATTTAGAAGTTAGAACATTTTCGAATTGGGAACTGAATGAAAGGAATGAAGAAAAAGGAAACATCTGTTATATTAGTTTGAAAGTTGAGCAACTGGTAGCTACAATGGAATACCATAAAATAAGAGGAGATAGAAGTTTATTTTAGAGAATTTGCTTAGTTAGAATAATGTTGGGTTAAAATATCAATAAAAAGTTAGACTTCGGGCCTCCCTAGTGGCGCAAGGGGTTAAACACCACACTATGAGGCAATCTGCAGCCTCTGCAGCATGAGTTCGATCCCCGACCCGCCAGGGAGCAACCCATTTGGCACAGCAGACCCCTTCTGTCTTGCCCGCTGCTCCCCTCAGCAGTGTATTTCGGTCTATCTGCCTGTTCTGTGCCCCACTCTGAATCCTTCTCCCCCCACCCCCACATCTCTGGCCTGTGCCCCAGCTCTTGTATACATAAATAAATAAATCTTAAAAAAAAAGTTAGACTTCAACATTGAGTAAAATAGAAAGTAGTTTTTTCAAAGTATAAAATTGACATAATGTTCTAGGAATTTTAAGGAGAAATATAAACAATGGGTTCTCTTTATTGTACTTGATGTTCTCCAAGAAATGTCAATATATGGGTTCACTGGACTCTGAGCTTTCATCTTGTATCTCTGCTGTTGAGTGGATTGTTTTCCCATTAACTTTTCAACAGGAAGGCCATGTCTAGGGCAGGGTTGCCAATAGCTATGTCTACTCTCAAAGAGTAATTTGTACTTCCTCTGAGCCTTCAGAAAAGAACAGACTAGGAAAAAGATCTGGGGCTAATAGAATACTTACTCATAAAGAATACATATTCATAAAGAATTAAGCTATTCATCAAAAAGCAGTTCTTTTCTTAGCAGGACATTTTCACTCCCCTTGAATTGGGGCCCCATTCAGACACTAAAGTAAAGAAGTTAATTCCTAAGAGCAAATGAGGTGATTTCTTACTTGGCCATTACTTAGCCTATAGCTATTTCATCCTTCAATATTATTAGGATGTTTTTTCTCTATGCTTAAATGATGTATAATAGGAAAGGAGGGTTGGGTAACATTTTCAATTTTTAAAAAAATGATAAATGGGAGAAATTTAACTTTTAGAATGAATAGAAAACAATCTGATTAGCAGACAGGAAGCTATGACTTTTCAAATCTTGAGGTCTGATTACCTGATAACATTACTTTTCTCATACCCTTTTACCCTTTCTATGCTCAGCACTTAATCTTCTATGGCAAAGCCTCATCGGATTTCCTGCATTTCAGTGCTCTTGACTCACCTGAACACTTAGAGCAAATACCATTTATTACGAAAAGGGCTTATCCCCAGACTTCATGGCTAGTCTCACAAAGTTGTGTAATATTTCTTTCTGGTAGGTAAACTGTATCAACACATTTAAAAACAGATATAAGAAGCTAGTTCTATCTCTAAATATAAAGAATTGTCTCACTCATCAGAAGATAATATTTGGCTGTAATCTGAATTTCATCCAGCTTCTGATGGCTGACTTCAAAATTCCCCAAAGTTCAGAAATTATCTTTGGCTTTTGAAATGATGGAGATAGGTTTCCATTTTTGCTAAACTGTTAAAAAAAAGCATCCTAAAAAAGAACCAAATATAAAAATAATCACCAAATATTTACTTTAGAAGAAGTTGATCTTGCATCGTGGGAGTTTATTTCTTAAAGGAAGAACAAGACATACTTGGGGAAATTCCCATTAGCACAATTAAAAGTTTGAAGAATAGATTGAACTCCATATGTGTTGTTGGCTATTCTACATTTTGATCTCTCAAGCCCTTTAAAGTGTTGGTTTCATAAGCAAGTGCTACCCTCAGCACTTCACAGTCATTTTTGAGGTTACTGATATAAAAATTTGCTCCAGGCTGGGTCCTGCCTGAGCAGCAAAGTGGATAGAGTGCTGCTCTACAGCCCCCGCCCCAGACACCTGAGTCCATAATTCTGATGAATTTTGCTTCATTTCTGTGCTCCATGGAAAGCTGGAAGCTCCCCAACTCTCTCTTGGGCTTGGCTTCCTATTCACATGTTTTCTGGTCTCATGTCATTGTGCATGAAGTAATAATCCCACATTCAAGCACCATTCACAATGGCAATATTTGTGTGGTTCAGTGCAAGTTTCCTAATGAGGACATTTTGGACTGTCCAGTAATTCCGTAGGGAAAGCAATTTGAAACTGGTTATTACTTTCCAAGGTGAAGGGAGCAAGACAAAATGCAATTTCTGCAATAAGCCACTGTTAGGAGACAATTAAAAGACAACTGCTGAAGAAAAATAATGATTTGCCTTATATATCTATTGAAATGTAGATATGTGTTTTGTCCAGAAAAATGACTCCAGTTCACAGCTTAAAGATATCAGTCACTGTTTCAGCATTTCACTGACTATGAATGGTGCTAGTGTCTTCCACTGAAAACTTATTTTAATGGCATTTCTTTGAAGAAAAATTTTATGAGTTTATGAAATTTGAGAGCCAGGAAATGCAGCTCAGTTTCTGAAACAATGAGAAAGCAAGGAGAGTTAGTTAACTTCAATCATCTACTTGCTTTATAGCATGGATTTATGAGTGCTAAGTGCAGTAACACACTAATACAGAGGGAGAAGCCAAACAAAACTTTTAAAGCACAGCTCTTAAACTACCCAACTTAACTTCCTGGCATATCAGCAGGTGAAATTCTTAGCACACCTATACTTATTTATGGAAATTAATGACAAACTAATGGGCATACAGGCCAGTGTCTTTATAGAATGCTATATTGATAAAAGATTTTGGAGGTCTTTCAATATCATCAATTGTTTCAATTGTTTATTTTACAAACAGAGAAACTGAGACACAAATAAGCTCTCTCTCTACACACACACACACAAAGAGAGAGAGAGAGAGAGAGAGAGAGAGAGAGAGAGAGAGAGAGAGAGAGAGAGAGGAGACAGACAAGATTCCCCATATCTGAAAGTAGATGTTCTTGTGAAACCTTTCTTAGGCTGAAATGGCATTAAATGAAGAAGCAATTATCATGAATTTGTATGGAAATATTTTTTAGTATTCCTGACCTCAAAAAAGTAACCTACCAGATAGCACTTAAAACTTAAAGTCACAGTAATGATATGATATCATTACTTAAAGCAGTAATGATATGATACATACACAGCCTATATAAAGTAATTTCTGGGGAAGGAACTTGGCAGGACCACTCCTGGGGTTCTTGCTTCCTCTAGAAATGCTGCTAGCTGCTGCAAAACGTGTCAATTGCTATTTGCTTTATGACTTTTGTTGTGAAAGGGAACATCCTCTTCAGATTTGGTTAGTGAAAACAGGCACTGATGTAGGTCTGTCATAAAAGTCAAGTGCATTTTGCAAACTTTTGAAAAGTGGGGGATATCTGTATTATCAGAGGCTTGGAAACAGAATGCAAAACTTATCAAGAACTCACCAACTTCCAGAATGAGAAGCACAGGAGTGTGGTCCAAAGGCTGTGTAGGATGGGTGTGCCCAATTACAGAGGGTGGCGTAATGGGTGGGGAAGTTCAGGATGAAAAGAGCAGTGATAAAAGGGTGTGAAAGGAAAAATCCTACAGCAATAAGCAACCTTTTGAGTGTCCCTGGTGAAGCAATCTGCCTGAAAAGAGGAATCTTCCAGAACAGAACAAAGGATGTGGGACTGCCCACATTTAACCTGAATCACCAGGGCCAATTCAGAACAAGATGCCAAGATTGTTGTGTTGAGGAAAATTATCTACACCCATTACCTCTGAGGTTTCCCTCTTTGTATAACAACTAATAACTCTATCCACTAGGGAAGGAGTTAGAAAGCTCCAAATGAAAATGTTTTCATATTTACATGGCAATGGAAATATTTTCAATGTAAAGGAAATTTTGCATTGTTATGTAATAATTTCCCTATTCTATTTTATATGCTTTATATCTCCTTAGAAGATAATATTATAGATCTATTTCCTCTCATACCTTTTATTATAACACATTTATTTATTTATATTAAAACATTATTCACAGCAGCAAGACTGCTCTATCAAATACTTAGTGCATTTAAATGGGTGTTTCCTCTTATTCAAAGTGTCTAAGTTAATTTTAGTCACTTTTCAACAGTTGTAAATACAGAACAGAAACAAAGCTAACCACATGTAAATGTTTACTTTGTTACTCATCAAATAATAGTTGGCATCAACTTTAGAAGCTTTTATGATTCAGCACATTTTCCTTTAAAATAGGTATTACAAACTGAATTTGACATCATTCAATTTTTAAACTTGGAGCACTTTGTAAACTTTTACAAAGAAATACTTCCTTATTGGTTTTATGAAATCCAGTCAAAGAATAATGTAATATGAATCTAATGGAAAGTATTGCCCTTGGTGAAGAGTCAAATGGAAATTTCTGCAAAAGAACTGAGTTACCCACAATGCTTCAAAGTCACTTGCAAGTGACTATAAGAAAATCAGCCTGGATGAAATTTAGAGAATATTATTTCTAATGATGTCCTCCTTTGAAGTTTGAATTGGCAACATCTGAAAGATGAGGGAAATGGCTGATAAAATGCAACTGACAGCACTGTGCTTTCCCCCATTGTAGGTGCTGACGGCCACCCACCATCATCTGAAGCTGAATTTAGCAAATGACATGCAGGTTGTCCAAGACAGAATAATTGCAGAAAATCTTCAAAGGTATTTATACCAGATATTTAACTCTTGATTAATTAAAGCAAGGGTCACCTCAGCTCTCCATGTCACTTTCATGGGTGGGGAATTGTAACAAGTAGCAAAAACTGGGGAGCTGATAATATTGTGCCTTCCTGTAGCAATCCTCATGCTTCTTGGCTGAGACAGCTAAAAGGTACCCTAAGTGTGGCAGAGCCAATTCATGAAATTAATCTTCAGGAATGGTAGAAGAACCATTTGAAAAAATGAGAATCTGAGGAATCATGTAACTTTATTAACATGTTTTGAACTACTCGGGAAGCTCAGGAGAGGTAAAAGGATGGTGAATGGCAGTCAAGTTACATTCAGTCACCCACAGACTCAGGGGTGCAAATTGCACAGGCATCCCCTGTCTTGTTAACACCTTGCTTTCACAGTTTTTCCTGTGGTCACATACTTACCAGTGCCACAACCGTTGTGGGGCCAGGAAGAGTTACTGGAAACCACCTCAGGGATCTTGTTGGCAAAAATATTCTTAGGGGTATTCATTCATGTGTGCTTACACCCCCTCCCCCTGTAAGTCTTTTCTCATATATCTACATTGAAAATTGCTATCTTCCATCCTCACCAAAACAAACACAATGGAAACATTGAGTTATTCTTGGTTTCAAATTGATGCTCTTCCTATTAATAGATGCCCTTTGCTTGATTTTCATTTTAAGGATTATGTTGACCCAGATTGACTTCAAATGAGTCCTCTAATCCCCCAAAGTTCATGAACTCACACAAAGAAAACAAAACAACTCTTCACCAAGTCTGACCTGTATTTCAGGTTTGCCTTTTGAGGATTGTTTTATGTAGCTTCTCTTTCTAAGAGAAAATTCCTGTGAAGTTAAACACTCTGTGTCATACTACAAATGGCAAGAGAAGTAGAAAAGTGGCTAGATCTCTATGGACAATTAGGATTAGTTCCTGAGCATCAGCATTTATTCTATAATTCTTGGACTTTATCTGTAGGTGGCCTGGACATCACCCATAGTGGCTGATGACCGTTTTCTATTCAGTGATGGTTTCCACAGCTAAATCAGTAGTAACAGATGACATTTAGGTGACCTCACCTCAAAACTCCAAATGAGAGTAAAGTATAAACAGAAAATAAAAAATTTATCTGTGTTGCAACAGGAACTTTGTTGCCATTTTGTGGCAGGAACACGATGAGGGACATAGCAGTCATGGAGCAGGTTTGCAAGGCAAGACTCTGCTACTTGAGCAGAAGTTCTTGTGCAATTTATCGAAAACATACAGGCTAGTGAAAACTGATCATGCGACAATGGTATAAGGAACAGGGTCCAAAGAATGGGATAGGAATGGGGGACAAAGTTTTATGAGGGACAGGTAAGGGGACATCATGACCATGTGTCAAGAGACATTTGCATCAGTAAAATATGATGTTATCACAGGCAGAGTTATCCCAAGACCACCATGGAGATAGTCAAGTAATCAGGTCAACAGCAGCCTTGGCATCCCCAGACCTATCTCGTGATACAAGCTATACTCCATAGGTAGTCAAGGAATTCTCTGCTGTGATTTGTAGACAGCAAATAGATCACAGTTGCCCATAAGTGGCAAGCTCATAGGAACCCACATCTGTTTAGAAACAAGGTCAACAAATAGTAAGACTGTGAGTTCTTAAGATTTCTTCATCTTGTGATATTTATACACAATGGGATACTACTCAGTAGTCCAAAAAGTTAAACTCATGCCATTCGCAGCAACATGGAAGGAACTGTAAGGTGTTATGCTCAATGAAATAAGTCAGAAGGAGCAAGACAAATACTGGGTGGTGTCACTTGTAAGTGGAATACAGAGAAATCAAACAAAGGGTCAGAAAAAACCAAACTTAAAAACTAACTCTTGAAAGCTGATTACAGAATTGAGGAATCTAGGGGAGAAGGAAGTGAGGACAATATGGGAGGGAGCACAATGGATAGTGGTGGTGGATCATGGGTGCTTTGGTGGAGGGTACACTATGGTAATGACATATGAAATGGGGGTGTCCTCTACACCCAAAATGTAAACAGTATTGTAAATGAACATTACCTCAATTAAATTACAAAATAAAATAAACATTAAAATAAATGATGATTCACTTAATGAAAAAGGTTTCTTCATCATCTTCAGTCAGTTTTCAAAATTTTTCTTTTGAACCTTAAGCCAAATTCACTGATTATTCTATGTGAACGAGGTTGACCTTCAGTAACATGCCATTAAAATGAACTGTAGACAAGACGGGAAAACCCTTAAAATTGGAGGTCACTCTGTCTCCCCAAGCAGATGCTAAAGACCTGATTTCTTGAAGTACCTGATTCATTTAATTAGGTGCTACGAAGAGGTCACTTTTCTAGAGTGCCATGTTGTTGATTATTTGGCCAGTGAGCTTTCATGTCATACCTTTCTCCTTTTATTGGACAAGTTTCCCACTTTAAGTATTATATCCTTTCTATTTCTCAGCATATCCTTATTATGAAAATAATATATGTTTACTCTAATGTCAGAATCATTTGTTCAGTTTTAATATCCATGACACTTATTTCTTTAAAATCTCTGGACCTCCTAGGAGAGCAAACTTCAGTGTGTTTGTTCTGTCTTTGACCTGGAAAACTCAAATTCAAAGTCTGACCAGCTACTAGCTTCAGAGGTCTCTGCCCCTCCTCATCCAGTTCCATCACTTGGATTAGATAAACAACTGAGTCACTTCTCAACATCACAGCTGTAGTCATATATCCACAGGACTCCCATCTAGTATATTTTGTAGAAAGAAATGGGTTCTTTCTACTTGTGCTTGGTCAAGTTTATAAAATAAGGACCACTTTAATGGACCTGAGGGCTTCAAAATGCTGCCCTGTACATTTTTTGATAGCCTCTCTGCTCATGCCATCTGGGTATAAAGTTCTTTCACTTAATATTTTTCCAGCCCTTAGAACTGCTTACATGCAGTTCATTGAACTTGTCTTCCCCTCCAAAATACATAACGTGAGAAACAGAACAGGAGATATTAGAAGCAAACCTCAGAAGCCACCCCAGTGTCTCCTGACTGTCCTATTGCCAGAAGATTCTCTTCTGTTCCAAGGAGAGATAGGTGATATTCACATAGAAGAAAATACCCAAAGGACAATTAAATTTCACAGCTTAGGGGCAATTTTAAAGGTTCTTGTCAAAAATGTTCACACCTGTGGAACAGACTGTTATTGCTTGTGGGAGCCAAGTGTTCGGCTTGAAATACACCCACCCAAATCTGAATGGCCACTGATGTCCCTTCTGGGCCCTGACACTGTACTGTCAGATGAGGTGTGGCATGCACAGATGGGATGACTTAGAACAGGGACTCTGTTGTTTATAAGGAAATTAAGACATTTTCTAGTCCTTTGATGCTTATTTGGGATGGAATATTTTAACCTGCATATCCCTTACTGTGCCCCATTGAAACTTTATCTTTTTTTACATTATTTTAATTATCTAAGTTACAGTCTGTGCATTAGTTGTAATTTATATGATTTTCAAATTGTCCATAGACTATGACAGTCAACTGTATCTTTTCAAGTAGTCGATTTCAGATGTGCACTTGAAAAACTTATAAAATTATCCTTGTTGTGATAACCAATAAGCTTTTAAAACTTGCTGCAGATAGGGAGTTAATTTATGAGACCTAAAGCAGACTCCAGTTCTCATTTAAAAGGGCAATTTATTACATAGAATCCTGATGTCAGTTAAAATAATGTGTTTGTTGTATAAAATATAAATAATAACTACCTACTATGAAACTTGCGTAAATGTTCAGGGAAGCACAGACTTAACCCTGGCTTATAAGTCTTCTCTGTAAAAATATATGCTATGTGGAGTCATGGAATTTTGCTAGTTCTTGACTACTGGAACCTCCAAAAGCAGCAATTCTAATGGTACTTCCTAATAGTTTACAAATTTGGAAATCTATAGAATGTATAATCTTATTCTAATTTTTTATTTACTTTTATGTCAAAACAGTTTACAGTTTCTGCATTGTCTTTATAGTTCTTGGTTTAAATTTGTGTCTGAAGATTCATTACATGAATGTGGGACCTCCAAGCTGATTTTGCTTTTGTCTCTGTGGCACTCCATAAAAGGCACTCAGTACCTTCCTTCACATAGCCTTTCTATTGGGTTGCATTCGGCTGCCAGTTTTTAAACTATCTGTCTTTTGCATCATCCACTCATCCCTCTGAAACTAAGTGCTTTCACATGTGAGTCAAGTCTAAGTGATTAAGCAGGCGCTAATGTGTTTAAGCACACAGGGGTGCACACGTACGTGTACAGTCACATGGATCTTTTTAGACAATATATCCTCAAAACCAACAAGTTTGTGTTCAAAGAAAATAGTGAACTACAAGGGGATGAAAAACACTGTGCCCATCAGGCTGTGCCCCCTTTATTTAGCTGGCTTCTCTCCATTTTCAGCTGACTGAGACCTGTCCGACAAATGGCCCTCTGGGTATGCTTTGGCTGCCAACAGAATAGTGCTTTGTTTAATAATGCGAGAAAGCAAACTCCAGTGATGTTGACCAACTAGAAGAAATCCTTTGCTCTTACCATAATGATACATTCAGGCAGAAAGTTAAGAGGAAAATAGCTATTCTCTATGGGACTGAGGAGTCAAAGTGGGAGGGAGGAACTTTAATTCTGATGAGGGTGGGGGTTCATCATGGGAGATATTCAGAAGTGGAGATCAAGAAGAAAGGATGGGATGATGTCATTCTTGACTGGGACAGCCACTGACAAAATCAGGTCATGCACAATGGTATTATTCTGTGCTCAGAACCATAAGTGTTACAAGAAATTATTTTGTTATAATGCTTCTTAGGAAGGGTTCATATTAAGATATGCCCCAACACATCTTTAATACATCATTCTGTCTAATGCTGAACTGTCCCACACTAGGTTCACAACATTTGTTTAAGAATTCTATGCCACAATTCAGGATAGAAAAAGTGTCA